AACTCATTCGGTACTTCTAAGTTCAGTGATAACTCATTCGGTACTTCTAAGTTCAGTGATAACTCATTCGGTACTTCTAAGTTCAGTGATAACTCATTCGGTACTTCTAAGTTCAGTGATAACTCATTTGGTACTTCTAAGTTCAGTGATAACTCATTCGGTACTTCTAAGTTCAGTGATAACTCATTCGGTACTTCCAAGTTCAGTGATAACTCATTCGGTACTTCCAAGTTCAGTGATAACTCATTCGGTACTTCCAAGTTCAGTGATAAATCATTCGGTACTTCCAAGTTCAGTGATAAATCATTCGGTACTTATAAGTTCAGTGATAAATCATTCGGTACTTATAAGTTCAGTGATAACTCATTCGGTACTTCTAAGTTCAGTGATAATTCATTTGCCAAAGTCATATATATCAAAATAGATAATAAAAGTTTCAAGATTCCTCTTTGCATTGAATACATAAATTTGAAATTGTGAGTTTTGTTTTTATTTTATAAAAGACTAACATTACAAAATCAAGGTAAATACTTTATGAAGAATTTTATACATACATGTGGTGATAATGCCAGCAAAAATGTAGCTTTTTGAGCAAACATGGCAGATATCAGATAAATAATTTAGTAATAAATGTTCTCACCTACAATACTTGTTCAGTTCCAGATTTTAAAACCTCCCTCCTTAATCCTAATATATTATTTAGTAATAATTTCTTAAGCATTTCACAAATGCCATCAATTTCTTTTAAGTTTAATAGTAAAACATAAAATACAGGCATGATGTGAATGTATATGTATTAGTCCTTCAAATTAAACTTGGTTTAGAAATAAAGATAGTTCCCCAAACTTATAACAATCTCAGAGAAAAAAGGAAGAGTAAAAAGTGCATAGTAGTACATTTTACACCTGGACTTAAAATGATCATTTATTCCTAAGTTTTAACTTAAGTAAAGTACTACAATTTAAGTTGCTAAAGCTATTAAACTAAGTTTATAATGGAGAATAAAGCAACAAAAGAGTAAAAGGTGTTTCAAATAATTTTTTTTATGATAAACCCTCTACATTAACATTAGTCTTAGCTTCCTAATTTTATATTAAAGGTTAATGGTAAATAGTTTAGTATTGAACAAAATTATGTAACACATTTTCAATTTCTAAGTATAGAGAATGGATCTATTAAGGAAACTATTCTCAGATGTTCATTCTAGTTAGTATCTCCTTTACATGTATTTGATGCTAAAAAATTTCATCTAGTGGGTTTTCCAGCTACAAGTACTTCAAATACACTCACTTCGATAACATAAACATTATCCTAGTTTTAATTATTTCTACTGCTAATAAAACTTGAAAACAAATTTGAAATTAGCTGTACTGTTTTTAAAACTATTTATAAACTAACCACTGTATGATTTTTCTATCTTACACCATCGAGATATTATGTTATTGTGAGTGACAGTGCAATTCTAAAAGGTTTTCTTCCATTTTATCAGATATAAAATAGGAACTGAGTAGGTTTATTAAGAGTTGTTAATATTTTTTGTATTTTAAATTAGTAAAATAACTTAACCACATATAAAGTTCTTTAAGCAACTTTTGCAGCAAATATCTTAAATATATTTTTTGTGTACAACATTTGGTTATCGAAAGTAATACTTGATTACATACAGTAGTTAAAGTACAAATACTTTAATACATTGTACTCACAAATTGAATGCACTATCTTCACCAAATGCTGTTTCAAGCAGTTAATATATGTTCAATAAATAAGTGGGTGCTTCCTTCAACAGAAATGTTTAACCTTGTTTGCTGTAAAAATTTCTTGTTAATTTTGTCAATATTTTCTGAAATAGATAAGTCATAATTCACCATCGATCAAACTTTGTTAACTTACAATATTTCTGAAGTCAGACTGCTTTATTCTAATTTTATTTCAGTCATTTTGTTAATACTTTCTGAAGGTAATATTTGCTGCTTCGATAATATATTTTGTGTGCTAGATATCTACTAGGTTTTTTATAAAAAGAGATAAAGCAAGGCAAAATTTGTTTTCTTAACTTTCAAATCTTCACTTTTTCTTTCTGCACTATCATCTTGTCTTTAATAGATTATATTACTTTAACCGTCAGAAGGTCTTTCATCTGAGAAAGATTTACGCAACTTAGATTTCTGAGTAATTTCCGCTAGTAGCTGAGTATGAAGGTCACTGCCTGGTGGAAAAAAAGTACCAGTGTCTTCACTAGTAGACGCTTGTGGTGTTGATGGGGGTGTGAAGTAATCTACTGACCCACTAGTGCTGAAACTGGCCATTGTGTATGATGACCCTCCAGTTTTACTCTTCTGAAATTCTAGTCTTCGAGAATCTGCCCCTGTTTTGGGTACAACAGGACTTAAAGGAGATGACACTGTTGGTGGTGAATGTGGCATCACAGTTTTAAGTGCTGGAGCTGAAAGGTCGTGAACTGTCGGTAAAGTCCCAGACACGGGGATCTTAATACGCATCTTAGATCTTCTACTGTAAGAACAACAAATAACCATAAACAAGTATAAGATATTGTATTTCAGAAAAAATCTTATGCTAAAACCAATAATGCCTTTGCTAAAATGCAAGTTATGACTGTATTAAATTGTCATTGTATTTACTGAACAAATACATTTACTAAATAACCTATAAACAATACCTATATTTCAACTGAAAACAAGTAAGTTGTAATGTTCAATTTTTGTAATTTTCAGGTGTATCAGTAGCAAAGACATATATTGATGGCTTAGAGATGTGTGTGTGGGTAAGGTATTACACGGTGAGGTGTCCATCAAGCAGGATTTGAACTCAGGAGCTCTCACACAGCAGACAAGTGCTCTAACAACTGAGCTGAAGAGTTAACTACATTTTTACTATACGGTTTTATCAGACTAATTAACTTGGATTCCTAAACTACATAAAACACAATACAAATACAGGTTTACTGTCATTGCTGAAAAAACTTACTTTTAACTGTGTATATATATACTAAGGATTTTCCAATTCTAATACATATAAATAAATATGAAGCCTAACCTATCATTCAATTTACTGCTTATCGCTGAATTATCCCAGTTTGGGGGGAATTCCACCCCTCTAAATTCTAATAGATAATGGTCTGAAATACATTAAAGAATATTTAAACAAATACTGTATCGTTATTAAATACAATGATGGATTAATACTAGTTCCATCATCAATAACTCCACTAAATGTTTAATGCTAAAAGAATAGAAACTTTTGATTTTACACAACTCTTCCTATTGATAAAAAGACTTATCAACAGTTTCAAGATATTTTAACAATTATGGTAAAACATTAGTGTCAGTAAACACAGATGTTTCTATGACAATCTCACTCATAGAAATTACCATTATTTCATGTTAGACAAATTCTATGTATTTTTTTACTTGACACCAATTCTACAGAAGGTAACTTCAGCCCACAAGTTACATATTTATATTAATTCAAACTTGAATTTTCATACGTTACAAATCTTATGAATAAAGACAATAATAACGATACGTACATCAGATCCTCTTGCAGATATGATGATGACATTCTTATACCCAATTATTAACTTATTCTTAAAAAAAAATTCTTTACAAAAAACAAAACAAATTACCCTGACTTAGACATCAGCATCATTAATCAAACATTCCAGCTCAAAGTTTTCAATAAAATGGACACTTTGAACTTTAGAAGTTATATAATCATTGTGTTTCCAAATAGACATAATCAAGATACATTATGTTATAATGTTTACTACTCACAGTTTATAAGATACAATAGAATTTGTTCAACATTACACGACTTCATTGACAGAGCTCATACACTTTTCACAAACTAACATTTTCAACATGAACTTATTCAAACTTGTGGGAAATTCAACAACATTCTTGCTATCAATTAAGGATTTAAAATGTATGGAAAATTACAATCTTTTCACCTTTACACTTTAATTTTTCTGAAATTGCTTAAGATAGTATTGAATTGCTAAGGTGTACTAACTACCATTAGTTAATAATAGCTATATAACAGTTAAGTTGCGTTAAGTTTGATTAATTACTTTAATTATAATATTTGCCATTGTTTTAACTTCTTTTTCTAAGTCTTGTTATTTTTTCTGAAATTTTACACCTAAACAATAACGTGTTGTAGCAATTTATCTCGTATGTAAGGCTCTTCTAAAATTACATTGTCGGAGCAGTTTAATGGGTTTTTGTACGTATTGTGTATAGTTTTTGTATGTGTTGTGTACAGTTTTTGTATGTATTGTGTATAGTTTTGTATGTATTGTGTATAGTTGTTCAGCTGACTTTGAATCTACGATAATACTCAAAGCTGACAATCAGTGTTTATGTGTTCTGTAAGTAATATATACTTATTCTTTTATAAAATATCCTTAATCTATGCACTGTTTCTGTGTTCTTTTTTAAATATTATTATTACAGAGTTTGATACAATCAGTCAATCATGCTAGGGGAAATTTCTGAATAAAAGTAAGTTTACATTCACTGCTACTATAATACCTTCTAATTTTGGTAATTAAATACTGATGCTCATTGTTACAACAGAAAAACCACTCGTACATTACCACGGTACGTAGAACCACTCGTACATTACCACGGTACGTAGAACCACTCGTACATTACCACGGTACGTAGAACCACTCGTACATTACCACGGTACGTAGAACCACTCGTACATTACCACGGTACGTAGAACCACTCGTACATTACCACGGTACGTAGAACCACTCGTACATTACCACGGTACGTAGAACCACTCGTACATTACCACGGTACGTAGAACCACTCGTACATTACCACGGTACGTAGAACCATTGGTACATTACCACAGTACGTAGAACCACTCGTATCTTACCACAGTACGTAGAACCATTGGTACATTACCACAGTACGTAGAACCACTCGTACATTACCACAGTACATAGAATCATTTGTACATTACCACAGTACATAGAATCATTGGTACATTACCACAGTACGTAGAACCATTGGTACATTACCACAGTACGTAGAACCATTGGTACATTACCACAGTACGTAGAACCACTGTACATTACCACAGTACGTAGAACCATTGGTACATTACCACAGTACGTAGAACCATTTGTACATTACCACAGTACGTAGAACCATTGGTACATTACCACAGTACGTAGAACCACTGGTACATTACCACAGTACGTAGAACCATTGGTACATTACCACAGTACGTAGAACCATTGGTACATTACCACAGTACGTAGAACCATTGGTACATTACCACAGTACGTAGAACCATTGGTACATTACCACAGTACGTAGAACCATTGGTACATTACCACAGTACATAGAACCATTGGTACATTACCACAGTACATAGAACCATTGGTACATTACCACAGTACGTAGAACCATTGGTGTTGACTACATATTATGGAGTAATGTTGCTAAGCCCCAATTTACGACCCAAATATAATAATGTTCCCATAAATAATTTCAAAACTATAATAAAACATACCTAGACTTTGTAAGTTCACCAATATTTGAAGCAGACTTCTCTAACGATGATGTTGATCTCGATTTTTTAGTATGTCTATATAAAACAAAATATTTTGTTTATCCACAAATTAAACAAGATATCTGATTATTATAAATAGAAATTCATTGAGAAAGAGTTAATAGGAAATGGCAAATTACAGGATGTAAGAAAAGTAACAACCAATGAAAGAGAGAGATTTTCTACATTACATAAAATGAGACAACTAACTCAGTTACCTAAGAGCATCAGTGCACTGATTAGTGTCACATAAATAATAAACTAGTGTTTTCAATTATGATTAAATTGATTGATGTCATAAATATAATATTTATATAATATAAATATTTACTCTAAAATAAATAAATATTTAAATAATTTACTCTAAATATTTTTATATCTAGAGTAAAAGTACAGTTTCTCATTATTATTCTTTTTAATTATTCCAACAAAAGTAATCAGCTAATTGATATCAGGGATTCCAATATTTACCATTTTTGACTATTCAAGTAATAGAAATATTGCCATTATACATTGTTAAGAAGAAAGCTACACAATTAGCCATCTGTGCCCTGCCTTCTGATTTG